CCCCCCCCCCCACAGACCTACAGCATCTGGCCTGTGGGGCTCCCCACAGCTCAACAAAATTTGGTGGCAGGGGAGCAGTGGTGATTAATACTGTTCTCCCTCCCCACTGCCAAATCACCACAACTTGCACGTCTGGATCCAGTGCACAAGACTTGGCACCACCTATCTAGCCCATGGGGCAAAAAGACTGGGCACCAGTTAGCTAAAGGAAAGCTCTCTGTCTGGCACTGTACAATGAGGCTCTATAGAGACAGTGTCAAAAAAACCATCTCTATTGCAGAAGCTGTCACAGGGGAACTTGAAGTTTGAGCGCTACAGGTGAGTTGGAGTGGCACTTCAAGCTGTTTGTGCCAAAATGATTGGTGAAACATTCTACAAAGATAACAATATTTAAAGCCCCACTGAGATGAAGGGAGCGGTTACACTTTCCATCCCTACTGTTCTAGCTGATAAGGGGTGGTTTGGTTTATCAACGGCCAATACATGGGATCAGGTAATAACCAGGGTCTACTTTTCATGTGGAGGAGTTTTAAAACTCACATGGTGTGTGCACAGCACTTTACAAAAGCCAGTTAGGTAAAGCTCCTGCTTGAGGAGCTTACAACCATTACAAGATATTCTGAAGTCACAGGCTTCAGGCATCTCTCAGCAAGCATCGTTCCTACAGCAACTGAAATTTACTGATATGGCCAACATTCAGGCTTTAGATTTAATTTGGTCTTTTAAAATTTTTTCACATATCTTCATAGAAATGTTTAGAAGAAGAAGTGTATTTTAACTGCCAATAAAAGTGAGTGACAGCTGACCAAGCAGCCAAAAGCAATTCACTTAAGTGCAGGGTGAGCTTATACACAACCACAGCCTCACTTGATCCTGATTCTCCAGTAAAAGTTCAGGACTCTCTCTTCCTCTAAGTATCAGAGTCCAACTATAATCCTTATAACTAGGCAAAGGCATTGAGCAGAGCAGTAAAGAGGGCCATCTTTGTACCCACAAGACAGGGGAAAGTGGGTGTGCTGATTTATGAAGTTACAGGAGTGCAGGCAGCAGTGCTGAGCCTAAGGACAGAAGAACAAGGCACAGAGTTGGTGCTGCTAAGGGGACTCCTGAATTTGGGACAAAAGAGTAGAAATAGATTAGGGAAGGCGACAGCAATGCAGAGAGACAAAGGATTGTTCTGCACCACAACAGCAAGCATGAAAAAACTAGATAGGAGGGGTGGGGAGCAGGGTGGGCAGTTAAACATCCTGTTCCCATTCTGTTTTGCTCCCTCCCCTGTAAGCAGAGGTCTGAAGTTGGCAGTTGGCAGAAGTCCCAGTTCTCACCTTTGTTGGGCTGGATGTCCACAATCATGCAGTCATCATCTTCCTCCTCTTCCTCGGTGTCTGCCTGGAATCCATCCATTTCCACAACTTCAGCCTTTAAACAAGTCAAGCAGCTCCATCAGAGGCAGTACCAACCAAGTGGCCAGTGACTTTAACGAGCACATGACTGAACTCTTCAGTAGAATAACAGTACAGAGAGCAGTTACAGCCTGTCCGTGCAAAGCATTTCTTATACAGTGTTCAGGCTATCCCACAAGTGCAAAAAAGGCAGGGGTGTTTCCACTGAGTGGAGGTGGAATTTTGCTTCAGACAAAGACCGGGCCCTTTGACAAAAGTCAATGTCTATAAAGGAACGTGCAGCAGGAAACCTGCCAAGTTATTGTTCCTAAAGACTGTTCGTGAAACGAAGCGTGGGCTATATTAATGACTTTTGCAAGGGAGAAATGGAATGTTCTCCCTTGGCTGAGATCTGAGCCCAAGCTTTGCCTGAAAGAGATTTTTGTTTTTATTTCAATAGGGCTTTTTTTGCTGTTAAGGCTTTGAACAAACATAGCTAGCTTCCAGCTTTAAAAAGGGGAGGGACCACTCAGGAGCACTACAGGTGTTGCAACGGTTACATTCATCTGCTCCTGCAGCAAAACAGAGGAGCTAAATTGCTGAAAAACTTTAAATAGTGAAGGAAAGAGGGGTTTGCTATACTTATGCCACAAAAGCATAGGATGTTAACTGTCACATTGTAACAGCTTATATCCCTGTCTTTTGCTACTGATGCAATTATTACATCTTTTTATACCAAGAGGGACTGTCACTTTGAAAGTCACTATTTTCCTGCTAGTTTCTCCCCTTTCAGAGGCAATATATGGAATATTTTTTAAAAAATGATTTAGGTCTAAACGATTTTCCCTGGATTGAAGAACAGTGATGAGCTCAGTGCTGACTGCTGCTTTCATCTAAGGAGAGCATCAGAAAGGTATTAAAGGAACTGAGGGCTGTCACACCTACCCACAGTAAATGACTTCTGTTAGAAGGTCATCAGAAAAAAAAATTAACGTAGATTCTTGGGTAGGCTCTTCCCACAATCAGATTAGCAATGTCTGGTTAGGATAGGGTTTAGTTTGTTTTAAATTCTACTGTCCTTCTTTAAAATTTAAATGCATTCCTCTCCAATCCGTGAATCAATGCTTATGGAAACAAACAGTATGATTTGGTCTTCAAGCTGAGCAAGAGCTGCCCACTTTTTTCAGGAGGCGCAACAGCAGCTGGAAGAGAATGCCAGATGTTATGCTGTCAGACCCATCATTAAAGAGCAGGCCCGGCTGCTTTCACCCAACAATATATTTTTGATCCTTCCACAAGCACCAGGTCTGTGGAGGGGAGGAACAGTGAGAGGCTATCAGCAAAAGGGAACAAGTTTGCTTGCACAAATGCTTTAAAGCAGCAGTGCTCAATCTTGAGCCTGCAGGGATCCCCAGAGGTCTGGAAATCTGGTGACTGAGCCGGTGTGCACAATCTGACCCCATGCGTAGGATCCAGCCTCTCTGGTCCAGCTCCACACAATTCATCCAGCCCATGGGGCCAGAACACTGAGCGCCATAGCGTTAAAGATGTCTTTCTGAAAGCTTTCAGCACCTTGTTCTCAACTGCACTGCACCTCCATGGTGAAGTCTGACTTCAAGCAGTCGCCCTTCAAAGCCCCCAGGGCTTCCAAGTGGCTGTGTACTAATGACACTGGATTACCAGGCCCCTGGTTTCAGCATTCCTCATGCAGAAGAGTTGCATATTATAATTGACTCCCTGAGCAAAAGCAAAGCAAAACGTTTAGGCCCTGCCCCTACACAGCATACAGACCAATAAAACTGCCAGGCAGAACTCTATGGGGAGGAAGAGCTTCAGAGCAAGCTGCCATGCCCAGCAGCTGTTGCTAAAAACAACTTCAAATGGAGAAAAAGGAAAAGCCAAAAGGAAGGTGGAAAGAAGCAGGCAGGTAAGGCGACTCTGTCACCACTTCTCTGAGACTGGCAGCAGAGATGCAAGTAAGGTACGCAGTCTGCTGAACAAGGGTTTTCAGTTCACACCCAGTTCCAGTGTTCAGGTTAAGGCAAGTAACTCAAAACTGAGCACAAAGACACTGGTATTCTCTTCACCATCCCAGATTCACATTTTGGCAGGTGGGAACATCCTGGAAGTACAATGCAGTTAAAAGCCCCTATTGTAGCTTTCACAAACACTTGATTGCTTCCAGCTTATGAATAGACAGCACCTGAAATGGATTTAAACTTTTCACTGACACTAAGAACAACACACCAACTAAAGTTCTTATTAGAACTTGCAATTAACACTGAGAAGCAGGGAGAGAGCAGCACAAGGAAACCCAAGTAGTCTAATGCTGTTCAGTCTCTTGTTTCATTATGCATTTGAAGCCTGTAACTCTTACTAGGACAGCTACCCTGTTGTTTGTTTTATTATGCAGTTTATAAAAAAGCTAGGAATGTGCATCATGCATGCTGCAATAGACACAAGCTCAAAACCTGGGAGTCAAGTCAGAGTCAAGGACAGATATTTAGAAGCGACACGTGCATACAGAACGAACGCTACAACATGGCAAGGGCAGGTCAAGGGCAGGTCAGGAAATGCTCCTGGATTAGATATGATCATAACTTAAATGGACAGGCCAAGCAACTCATAGTAGGGTGGAGCTTTTTCATGCATCAGCTGCTCCACAGTAACTGCCTGCATGCACTCTCCCAACATTCAGCAGCCTACCCCACTGTACACAGGGGCTAAGACTGTGCAGAGATGCAGCTTCCAAAGGGCAGCTGATGTAGGATAAAGCCCTGCCCACTTTTACTCCTCTAGTAAGTTGCTCTTATGCTCCACATCCAAGAGAAAGAGAAAGTCATTGACATTTTCAGACTGTCTATACAAATGCAAAAACACTTTGGAGAAGCAGCCCACTTCTTTGGATGCATACACCATTACCTCCCCGCAACCAATCTTTTTATATTATTATTACATATTGTATTAAGCTGTTGTACAAGTGCTAGTTCATTCATGCCAGCATTCCTTTATGCCCAGCACTCCTTTGTGCAAATCTGACACACTGAAGCCTATCACGAGTCAAGATCAGTATTTTAAGTTGTGGTTCGTTCTCTTTCCCTTCTTGATACATAAAAGGTACCTGTACAAACTTACCTGTTCTGCATCCCTAGGTCTTTTCATAAACTTGGTGATGGACATGCTTCCTGTGGATTTCCTCTTTGTTGAAACGGGGGTGGTTTGCATCACTGCCATTCCTTGTGTGCTGGAACCATCCTCCTTGGCTGCAGATGGGACTTGCGTGGTGTAGTTCCACCGACAAGGGACAGGGAGATGTTCCTGATCAAAGCTCTTCAGCACCTCTGAGTAGACATACCAACACATCCTGTACTCGGGTCTCTTTTCATACACAGAGTTCTCGGAAATAATTCGTTTTAGCCTGGCTTTGGAAGGGATGGCACTGTCCTCATTGACAGGAGTTTGTGGGCGAGAGCTGTTAGGGCTGGCAGGAGTAGTGTCACTGCCATCTGTGGGCACTTCATTGAACAGACCTTGGCGACAGCATTCCTGGAATTCCTGGATGATCACTTTACTCCCATTTACATTTCCATGGAGCAGTGGAAGCAGCTGTCTCAGAACTACAGACAAGAGATAATTGCAAGCATGTTACTGCCTGTGGGCCAAAGCTCAGGGTAAACAAGGTGCATCAGCATGTGTCAAACAGTGGTCTTTAACACAGAGGCCATTTGGGAAGAGAACCTAGGAGTTCCTCCCCATCCTTTTGTGACTAACAAGTTCTGCTAGTCAGCATTAAGATATCTACAGTCAAACTTCATCCCCACTCCACTGAGCAGCATATTGCAATTAAGAATGTAAGAGTTAGAAAGCCAAAAAACATCAAGTCCCAGGTTCTTTCCCCCATCCATTGCTCTGATTTCCTAAACTTTTCTTTGTGGCAAAAGAACTTTATTTAAATAAGCTATAGATTTCCATACCACGTAGCTAGAATTGTCTGTCGACCATGTGCACAAGCGTCTATGTCTATATATGGGGGCAGGCAAGGGGGGAGAATGACTGCTTTCATATCACAAGTGTTTTCAGGATTACATTGTAGAATTTCAGACCTGATGTAACTACTCATCCTAAATTTAAAACAACAATTTAGGATCTGTAGATGAGGCACTCTCTCAGAGTAGGCCTACAAGTCCACTGCTGAAGTGGAGAACACAGCTCTTCCCAGTCTTACTTTGCTGGTCTTTCGTCCTTTTTTTGCTAGTTTTCTGTGTCTGCAGATCTTCGTCTGCAACAGGTAGTTCCAGGATGCAAGTTGTGAACTGCTGAAGCACCTTTAGGTCTGCATTTGTACTGCAGCCATTCTGTTCATTTTCCCAGAGGCAACCAATCTTCACAGGCTGAAGGACCCGGAGCCTCTTCCCCTTGGCCAGCAATTCATCCCACTCCTTTGCTTTCAGCTTTTGACGGACCTTCTGATTCTCTGGATCACACTCCTGAAAGTCAAGTTAAACCACATACATGCTGATACATTAATTCTAGGAAAACTGAATAAGCTCTATACTAGAGGTACTACAACCCTGGCCTACATCGCTGTATTATTCAGCCCACGGAGCTCCCTGTGCGTCCAAAAATTTAATGGCTGGAAAGCAGTAGCAGCATTAGTTGCCACTTTCCCGCTGCCAAACTTCCAGCAATGTGCAGAGCCCTGCAGACCAGATAATGTGGCCCTGCATGTGGGATTGGGCCAGCAGACCAACACCGCACCGCTCATCTGGCCTGTGTAGCCATAAGGCTGGGTGCCACTGCTTTATACCACTCTATAAAAACTTCATAACTACTCTGTGTGATAAATGGACAACAATGCACTAAATATCTAGCTCCAAGAGATCTTTAAATAATCACAGTACTAGAACAAAGAAGGTCAGTGTTCCCAAGATACCTCATTGTAGACCATATTCCAGTATGTTCCACCCCAACCCTCCTAAAACCCCACAACTACAGCATTTAAATGGTTATTTATCAGCTGCCTGTCTCAGCCTTCCCCTCCCAGTTAGAAGAGTCAGATTAGGGTTTTCAAGCCAAGGTGATAGCATATTTTATCTGAAAAGAACTACCCATACAAGCTCACCTTTCCACGTCTGGTTATTTCTAACATGTCCCAAAAGTTTCCTGGGCATGCAGTTAAAATAGCACCATTACATTTCACTACTGTATTCAGATGCATTTCAAACCACTCCACTATTTACTATTCTGTGCAAATTTTTATTGGAAGCAAAAGAAATAAAAAAACCCTTACAGTTCTTGTAGCTAACCCCCTTCCCCATTTAACCCTCATCTACACCATTCACCACTAAGCAAGACATTTCTTCAATTTTAATATAGGCAGTACACACTGAAGTCTGATCAACTTGTTCCTATAAAGTGTGATGCGTGGAAAAGAGACTCTACATTACACCTGTCATCTGCTGCATTTTCTCTGACCTGAACAAAAAAATGCTGTATTATGTACTTATTTGGTAGTACAGCAAGACTACTATGCTAACTGATGGTCTTACTAGCATACTCAAACTATATATTTCATTTCTGCTGTTTGTTGACTAGGTAAGCAGAAAGATCCCATACAGAGCACACTATATTTTCTTCAAGTAACAAAGCATGAAATTCACCCCACAAGTCAGAACTCTAGAGGTGGCATCGCCACAACTGCACAAGTTTTCTGTAAGGAGTGCTATAACATAGTATAGTCAAGGAAGTTGGATTAAACGTCTTTGGGAACCACTTACTTCTGTCACTCCTTCATCCTCAGATAAGTACCCATGGGGTACAAAAAACCCATCATCATCATCTTCATCTTCTCCCTCTTCCTCATCATCCTGGAGAGGAAACTGACTTTATTAGAAGTTGCACATAAAAGGATCAAAGAAACCTTTTAGAGCAGCAAAAACCCTGACCCAAATTAATCAAAAGGAGTATCATTTGCCTGATCCGAGACTACCAAAGCCTCAGTCTCTGCAGTTACGGAGATTAAAAAAAACAAAAACAAACAAAAAACAAACAAACAAAAACCCCCGAAGAAGACTGGCTAGCATGGGAATTCTTACTTCTTCACTGTGTGAGAGAGATTCTCCTGGTTCCTCCTCTTCCCATTCTTCATCACTATCTACCTCATAATCCAGTAGTTTCTGTAACGAGAAATGCCCATGTCACCCCTCAATAGTCAGGGAGAAAGGTAAATGTTCATGAAGTATTTTTGAAAACATGAGTAGAAGAAGATGACTTATCTAAAATGCACAAGGAGGTACAGATACTTGAACAGAGTCTACCCTGAGAACTGAAAAGGGAATCTATGCCATACTGCTTGTGAAATGCTTACAGTGTCCTTTGACCAGGGGTTTCTAGGATGGATAACAGTGGTCTTCTTGTTCCATGTGCCCCAGTATGCAGGTCGGTGATTCTCACAGAACTGTAGTAGTTTCATCCTGCCAAATTTCTTCCTTTCAGGAACAGTGTCCATTTGGCAGCTCTCTACCACCACCACCACCACATCACTGTTGAAATAAATACTGCCTTCAGTGGTCATATCATAATCCACAACAGCTCAGAGAAGCACAAGACCTTTAACTCAGCAATTTTAAACCATTCTAAGAAGTCTGGATTAATTGGACAACACCAGCTGCTTACAAGGACAAAGCTGTCTGGTGCAGTTATTCAGTAAAAAGGATGGCCCAGTCTGGGTGAGATAATTAAAAACAAAGGATAAACTAACAGCAGTTTTTTTTGTCCAATCCACATTATTTATATGGGCCATACTCCAGACAAGCTCTCTTCCTACACTGGACATTACTGAAGCGTTAGAGTTCCTGCGGAGAAGGATCTGGGAGGATTCCTTGTGGAATCAAGGAAATTTAGATGACAATATATTGCTTCCTGGGGTGATTAAATCTCACACAAAGCTAACTAACATTAAAAAAAAAATCTGCACTTTTCTGTAATCCACAATAGTGTTACAAACCATTCTCCAACATTGGTTTCAGAGCCGATATGACTATGAAACGCAGACTAACCTGTTAAATGTGTCAGCACTGCTGTTATTGATAAAGGTAGCGTTACTTTTAAGTGGCTTGCGACACTTCAGTTCTTTGAAGAAACAGACATCACTATTCGGTGTTTTCAGAAGCTGATCCAATTGATCTAAAACCTCTTGCTCAAGGATAACACGACTGAGGGGGGCAAGAGCCATGTTCTCCTTAATTTCAAAAGGAGCAAATTTCCCACAGGAGCCAGCAAGGGTCTGAAATGAAAGCGAGTTCAGGAACATTCAAATGTGAATATATGAAATGCCTAACAAGCCACAAACCCACCCTATTCAGGATACAGAGCAAATGCTAAATCTAGTATGCAATCATTTCACTAGATGCCCAAAATATGAATTCACAAACAGGAAATACAACAGATGTTTTCAAGAGAATTCAAGTCTTGTAATCACTGTGTAAGTGGCTAGTAGTTAAGAGAACTGGATTTCAAACATAACGAGCCTATGCAGTCACCACTATAAATAGATGCCAGTTCTGTTCCTCCTACACTTTGGTTTAGAAGATTACCCATGAAATAGAGAAACATAACACATATCTAGCAGTATATCTCACCTTAGGAGCTTGTGGCGTCTTTGGTTTCTGAAAGAATCTGGTAATTTCTGCTTTCTGTGCATTAATGCGCTGGAATTAGAGTTAAAATACAAAGTACTGAATATAAAGTCCTCCTATTTCACTGAGCTAAAGTGAAACTCATCTTAATATCCAAAATAAAGTAAGGTATGAAGGTCTGGTCATTTACCCAGTCCCTGCAGTACAGTGAAAACATAATCAAAATGTCATTTATTTCTATTAAGAATGTAGCATGAATGAGGACACCAACATAACAATTAGCAAAACCAATGAGGTTACTACTATTAACCTTGCCTTGTGCTGGAATCACGTCTCCTGTGACATTTATGGATGACTGAGGATAACAGGCTTAGAAAGGGCATCATGTGGGCATCAGAGTAATGAAGAACACTAGCCGACTGCTGTAGCACAACTTAGGAAGGAAGAGCAAGACTCCAAAATAAAGCTAGAGAAATTTACCTTTTCTTCCTCTTTCAACCGTTTCTCCTCTTCTTTCTTCCTTTTTTCTTCAAGTTTTGCCCTTTAAGATAAAGGTTCATTTTAAGGAATCGCCACAAATCAACAAAGCAAAGTCAATTTTCAGTGCTTTAGTAGAGTCAATGAGCCCAAGTCATGCACTATTGTAGGTACTGTACAAACAAAACAAAGACAACCCATTCATTTAAACCAAGACTAATTAATTTATGCAATAAAAAGGTGCATCATGCCTTCTACAGTGGATATTTATTTGCTGAGCCATGTCTATGCTAATAGCAAGATAGATTTCAACTGTCTCCACCATAAGGAAGAAGCATTTTTGACTGGAACAAACAGTTTAAGTAGCTAGAGGGCCAACATCCAGAGAAATTCACAATCAATTTAAAATGCCTACAGCCTTGCCATGAAAAGAAAATTCATGGATGGTAAAAAGAAGTTTCATGTTATTTCAAACTAAGATATCACTTTATAGCGCATTTATGAAAAGAAAAAGCTCTCAGGACTAGAGAATGGTACACACAGTTTAACAGTTTTTCACTGTACTGATCTAGAAACCAATATGGGTAACTCCCTAGCACAGACACAGGGCATGGACACATGCATATTTGTTTCATCCAGTTGATGTGGTTTTGCTACATTTGTACTGAAGTGTTCACCTTTTGAAACCGCTCCAAACACGTGTGTGTGCGCGCGTGTGTGTGTAGCTCAATTCCATCATTTATAAAAGCAAAGCCACGTACTCTAAAGCTTCCTGCCTCTCCTTGCGTTTTTCTTCCTTCACTCTTAACTTCTCAGCTTTTTCCTTTTCTTCTTTTTCCTTCTTCTCTCGCCTTTCTTTCTCTTTCAGCTCTTTCTCTTCCTCCTTCTTTTTCTTTGCCTCCTCTTTGGCCCGTTCTTTTGCAGCTTTTGCCTCTTCTTTCAGCCTCCCTTTTTCCTCCCTTTCTGCTTGCAACTTTTGCAGTTTGTCTGCACGTTCTTGATCCTAGTTACCAAACACAGTTCAGTAAGCGTTGTTTTAACTGATATT